ACAGGTTGATTTAGAGGCTGATCAAGAAACTACAAAAGTGTGGAGGCGGGGGGGGTGCTTCCCAAATGTCAGGCTTTTTAAAATCCTGAACCTATTGGGGGCTCAATGGGTTCAGGATATTGCCGTAAAGTCACGGCACACCCCACTGCTGTGAGTGGGCAGTGCCACAGAAACTTGGCATACGGGAAGATCTTTCGTGTCGACCTGTCGGTGCGTAATGCTGTTAGCGGGAACCTTATAACGTTGAGTGGTAAACAAACAGGGGCATGGTGTGACCAACACTGAAGTCACGCTCAGTCACCTTTGTCTGCCCCCAGTCTTGATTTTTAGACACCGAAACAAAGTAGTCGTTCGAAACTGAGGTAACCAAGGGGAGGCCTGGACTGGTGCAGCTATCACACACCAGAATTTAACTCTGGTTTGTTGGGTTTCTGGCTCAGCGCACTGAACACTACGGCACTCCCTGACCTACATCCGTTCACCCAGACTGTCAGAAAATTTCAGATGGCACAGAATTGATAATGTAGCTGCAGAGCTTAATCAAATTGCCGAGGATAGATTCACATCAAATAACTCTACAACAAACTAATAGCCTCACAGTCACTCTGGCAGAAATGCTGCCAATCCATTTATTAATATCACACATTGATAGAATCAGCTTTTCAAGCGAATCAATCATTATCTCATATTGAATTGGATGTGAAACCCCATTGAGTTATCTGATCTATATTGAAAAATAGCTACCTAAGAGTAGTAACAATGATACTGTTTTATTGAGTCCTTTATCAATCAATCTATCGTTGGAATAGACAACACCACTCACCCCACGGACCAGAGCCATGGCTGAGCATCAAACTCAGACGGGCCATCAAGAGACTCGGACTCTCTTGCGAATGAAAGCCGGGCCACTAAAGCAATGCCAGTGAATGCATGATTTTTGCGTCTCTTTTTTTCCCCGCAATGGACGAAATACCCGTGGACAATCTAACAGAGCAGTTGATGGACCCTAGGTGTCGGAGAACGGTTGGACAAGAGATGTACACAAACGCCCTCTGAAAAGTCCTTCAAACGGACGTTTCTATCGTTACGTTGGAGGTGCGCACTTGAGGTTGCTTTAAGTCTCATGACGGTCGAGCTGATGCAAAGATGTTTTAAATTTTCTCTGCTGTCATTCATCCAAATGAACTGATCATCTAAGCCAGTCACGTGTAAATGGACGGAAACCATCAACTCGCTGCACTGAAACTCGGTTTAAGCACAGGCGGCTGAAACCCAAATTCGAGCCCGCGGATCTCAGCGATGCCGTCTTGACGCTCTTTTCTCAAACAAATTTAATATGTGAATGGAAAAATAACAGCGTTGGCTTTTTTAGAGGGCCGTCTTATTATAGGAAATGGATTGAAGTAGAACAGGGTTCGCTGTTTAGTATGCACCACAACACAACCCCCGCTTATCCACAAATTCAATTTGAGTAACTTTTCCTGCCACTTTTTTTATGACATTGCTGCGGCCTTCTGAAAGTGCGGCGTCTTTTATTGTAGTTCACAATTTATTTTTCCCGCCAGACTCCAGATTATTTATCCATCTCCTGCATTGTGCGCGGCAAATATTTGAAGATGTTTTCATATACAGGATGTGCGGTTTTGTACGAATGTTTGTTCGTAAGCGTAAATACGGCCCCGTGCATTTCAGCCACCGTCCTGCTGTGAGGCCAGGTGCCGGTGGTTGGCACGTGATCGCAATGCAAAGTTTTGGAGATGGGGTTGGCGGATTGCTGTGAGAGCGGTGTGAGATGTTGCATTGCGGAGATGATGTGGAGCGTGGTAAGGCAAGTAGGTTGCCGGCCGACTATCTGTGCAAATTCTAAGTGGTGCTTGTGTCTCTCTTGTATTAATTAGTTTGCTCGGAGCACTCCAGTTTCCTCACATGAGAAATAATACGAACAAAAATAAACTCAATCATCCGAACAGAATGTGGGGAATCCTCCTGCAAGTGAGTCCTGAGACTCAGCACGACTTTACTGCGTAATTAATTGTGTCATTAACTTTATAACTTTTATGAGGAATTGTCTTTGTCATGGCTCAACACAGACGCTACCATTCCAGCTGTTGTTCAGATCAGATAGCCTTATTTACGTATAAAGGTTATCTGGGGCGGACATGTGAGGAAATTGGAACGGGGGGGGGGGGGGGGGGTCGAAATCCACCACGCGTACGACGGGGGGAATAGTACTCAACACTGTTGTCTCCTGGCCACTCTACGAGAATCGGCTGTCCGCCATTCAAATACTAACCGAGCTCAGTTAGTATCTGAATACTCACCGAGTATTTTAATACTAACTGAGCACATTTCGGGTCGCAGCCACGATCATTGTAGAGAACATTCGTGAAGGTGGATTCATTATAAATGACTGGGACCCCGGAGACAGAGCCCAAGGCATCTTGTCTGCAAATCAAAATAATATTTGGGAGAAACATCCAAAGCCGGTCTGCGCCAGCTGCCTTGTTCCGTGCTGGCTGTAGGCGGTAATGTGTTACGAGTTTAATAAATGAGCCAATTTTTTTTTCTATTTGCATCATAAGAGGTTTGCAATCGTGGGTAATGAACATGTTTTGTGGCAGGCGCGGTTCGTCCACTAGGAGCGTTGGGGCGCCGCCCCACCAAGCAGCTGGAGATGAGAAATGATTTTTCTAGTAAAAATGCTTTTCTATAAATTGTTTTGTTGTGTGAAAAAGAAATAAAAAAAGAATTATGATCAGAACGTGAATTGCCTAATGAAGGTAACATTTTAAATTGTTCATATTAGAAACCGCTGTAGCACCGCGGTCTGATTTGTGTCTGGGCGGCTGTGAAGGCAATGACTGAAGGGGGTTCAGTCATTGCTTCTCACATTGTGGCCACGCCGTGAGAGACGCAATCAAGGCGGTGAAGAAGTCGCCCGCGGCTGCAATGAGAGACGATGTCACGGCGCGAGGTTGCGCTGTGCGAACACCGCAGGTCACAGCCTACAGGTGGATGTCGGACGGCGTGTGGCTGTTATTGTACAGTATGCGGTGTCTTGATTGCCGTGGCTAATTTGTTGAGCCGTGTCAACTGATCTGCAATTGTTCTTTCGGCTTTTGGCAGTGCCAAAGGAGTTGTGTAGTGTGGACTTGAGGGTCATGGGGACAGCGTTTGAGTGCTTTGTTGTTGTATCGAATTGTTTATAAATGCCTACCGTTGGTAGATAAGAGAGCTGGATCACTCTCACGGGAAGCCCAATAACACGACGAGGTGTTTCTTCACTACGACGCTCTCTTGTCAGCAGAGGTCACTCACAACAGCCCCACCTGGTGGAGACGCCACGAGCCGCCACTGTTTCGTGGTGAATTTGCTCCCCGTGAAATTGTTTAGTGTCTGGGAGGGAAAAAAAATCCATTCAGGAAGATTGTTTTGTGTGGATGCCACACTTAACGTTAATACGCAAAACTAATTTGTGAAGCAGTATTGTCCTGCATAATTTCACCAAGGCCGGTTTAAAATAAATGCATATTAACTAAGTAGCATTCCAAGTATAATTACCATAATAATTATCCGCAATAATCGTTTCCTCTATCTGCATGTTAATTAGCAGTTTAATTATCATTTATAGACAGGTTTGGTCTGACATTTTCAATTTTAGTTTCACTCAGGGGAAGTATTTAATTACCCCCTTACTGTCGTGTGTGTGTGTACATGTGTGTATACATATATATTTGAGGAGCGGTAGTGTAGCGGTTAGCACGCTGCACTACGAACCTGGCGACCTGGATTCGATTCCCGCTCACGGAACACACCAGTGACGATTATCTGAACCGGTCCTGGGCCTCCCCTAGGTCGACTCAGCCTCAAATGAGTACCTGGTGCGGTGTGTAATCATCGCCACTGGGGAGACAAAGGCGGTTCGGGCGTGGTGCTGGCCACCCATCCCCCTCGTGTACCGTTCCGGCCTTCACAGGTGCTCGCTAACAGCACTTGCCCCTACAGTCTGTTAAGGCTATACGGGGGATCTTTGTATACATGTATACAAGGGGAGCTGTGGTGCAGTAGATAGTCCTGCGTTGTAAAACCGGCGAGCCGAGTTTTATTCCCACTCACGACGAGTAACAGTGGCGAACATTTGAAAAGGTCCTGGGCCTCCCCGAGATCGACTCGGCCTTAAACGAGTACCTGGTGTGGTGTGCAAATATCAGCAACGGGGAGACAGTGGTAGCCGGAAGTGGTGCTAGCCACCCACCCCCTCGTGCGCTGTGTCGACCTTCATAGCTGCCCCTTGCTGGCAGCACTTACCGCACCGTGCTAATCGCGCCTCCGATTAGGACGGTTGGCTACGCACAGCGCGAAAGAGGTGCAACATACATTTCGGGGGGGGGGGGGTCTTCATCTTCGTGTTTGCGCGTGTTAGGCCATGCAAGTGTTTGTCTGCTTGTGACCAGCATTTGTGTGTGTGCCTCCGTGCACACGCACATGTGCATTTGCCACCATGAATCATGGAAATTTATTGATGCTCGAAGGAGGTGAACCGTTACTTGCCTCGTATTTGTTCTGTGTAATAAGGTAATTTTTTTTACGGAAGTTATTTCTTTATTTTTTTTCAATGCACATTATCAAAATAGAAATGTATTGTAGACGGCCGTGAGCCAAAGGCATTTGCCAAGGGGTTTTTTAGAAAAAAAGCATTAATGTTCATATCCGTTCGCACGCATGTGAGAATTCATTCAGAATAAAATCATTAATTCGCAGACAAATTCAAATGTTCAAATTATTCGGCCGCTCACATTTATACGAATCGAGTCAATTGTAATAATGCAACTCGTTACTGATTTAACGATCGGTGCTTTGTGTGACGGCTGTGAATGTAGCGGTCCCTGACATGAGAATTATCAAAAACCTTTGGATGAAAACAAAAATAATCATGATGATGATCTACAAAAACAGGAGAGCAATGGCATTTAATATATATCCTTGTTCCTGTGTTGCAGGCTTCATCGCGAAAATGAAGAAGAGACCCCAGGACACGCTTGACTTCCCCTGCCTTTTAAATTAACGCATCACGCCACCGAGTTCCATCCCGACGACGAGGGGGGCTCAGCGGAGCGTACGACCCCCACAGGAGTAAAACATAAAAAAAGAGACAAAATCCAAATCGTCACCAACGCAACCCCGCGTGCGTGCGTGCGCACACCAATACCTGTCGCCCCGCCACCAAGCGCATTTGCAATGGTGACATAACGTTGCCGTCTGCTCACGAGATCGACGCAGCCCCCCCCCCCCCCGGCTACCGTCGACGGCGGCGCCGCCCCCTCCAGCCCGCGAAGGATCGCAGCAGCACGGGCGCCCCCCCCCCGCCCCCCCACCACGAGCTCGGAGCCGACGCGGCGGCCACCGCCCCCCCCCCCCCCCCCCCCCAGCGGGGCGGGCGCCATGAACTGCATGTGGCGCGTCACCCGCGGCGTGTGGCAGCTGGAGCTGCGCAAGCTCATGGTATTCCTCATCGCGTTCGGCGTGCTGTCCATGTGCCTCACCATGTACTACATGAACGACTCCGACAAGGTGAAGGAGCTGCGGGTCGGGCCGCGCATCGGCTGCGACGACAACAGCACGGGCGGCTCGGGGGCGAGGGCCGTCGCCGGCAACGCGAACCGCGCGGCCGCCGGCGGCCGCCGTGGCCGCCGCCGCGGCCGCCGCCGCCGCGGCCCGGCCGCACCGCGCCAGCCGCCAGGACTACAAGCCCGAGACGGAGCCCGTGGTGCTGGTGTTCCTCGAGAGCTACTTCTCTCAGCTCGGCCAGGAGATCATCGCCATCCTGGAGATGAGCCGCTTCCGCTACCGGGCGGAGATCGCGCCGGGCAAGGGCGACATGCCCACGCTGACGGAGAACCGGCGCGGCAAGTACGCGTTGGTCGTGTACGAGAACGTGCTCAAGTACGTGAACCTGGACGCGTGGAACCGCGAGCTGCTCGACAAGTACTGCCTCGAGTACGGCGTGGGCGTCATCGGCTTCTTCAAGGCGAACGAGAACAGCCTCCTGAGCGCCCAGCTCAAGGGCTTCCCCCTCTACCTGCACTCGAACCTGGGGCTCAAGGATTGCTTCGTGAACCCCAGCTCGCCGCTGCTCTACGTGACGCGCGCCAAGGAGGTGCGGAGCCCCGGGGCGATCGTTCGGCCCGTCGCGTCTTCGGCGTCCGAGCCCCCAAAAATTTGGTGGAGCTTTGTGGCTTTTGATTGGCCTCTCTCTTTTTCCAAAGCCACGGCGGGGGCCGGTCATGGCAGCTTTTTGGGGCCAGATCCACCACTGGTCTCCGCTTGGTCTTTCCTCTGCCGTCTATGCTACTGGCTTCCTCCCCACCCCAGTTTTTGCTTCGCGGTTGGATCATCTAGATTCGCCACAGCCCACTGCTGGATGAGGGCCTCCACATCGAGTGGGTTGTCGGTATTATTTGATGATGATACTTTAGCACCCTGGACAGTACGAGTTGGCGGAGGAGGGAGGCATGGATGTAAAGGAACGTAGACGTACTGTATGGCGTAGCCACTTTTTTTTGACGCGCTCCCCTCTGCCGCCTACTACGTAGCTCCGCAGTCACTTCGGAAACCTGTTGTTACGCATGGTGGTCACCAAATCAAGCAGTGACGTGCGGTAAGGTCAGTGACTGGGGAGGCACTGGCTCGTGTCAGAGCCAGATTCACACACTGAGGGGGCGTGTCCTCACTGAGGGGGGCGTGTTAGACACGTCCCCCTCAGTGAGGCAGACTGTGATAGCTGCCTCCCCTGGTGCTTTTTCATTGCAGTTTCATGACGAGACCAGCGAGCCTAAATATTTTTAGACACATATGTGAAATAAGTTACCTGGAGTATGGAAGGCGAGGACATGAAATGAAGGGGTCTACAATCATTACATTGGTGACATACTGAGATAGTAACAGGCATGCGCTCATTGCCCGTGCTCCATCCAGTTACTGAGGGGTTGCGCAATCAGAGGGGAGGCTGAGCTCGTCGCTGCCTCACCTCTTGCCTCTTCCTATAACAATGATTGGAATCGTACAGAAATGACATTCATAACACAGGTCAGTGGAAAAATCTTAATATTTATTTTATTTGATTATTCTTTTTTTTTACTTTTCGTGACAGCTATTTTCACTGGAGTATGGCAGGTGAGGCTCTGCTTCCCCTGCCTCCCCTGACCGCACGTCCCTGCATCCAAGGGCCATCCAGGTTCGATGCGGCTTAGCGTCCGAGCTCTGAAGCGGTCGCGCCGATTCCGTGTGACTTTTGCGGAATGTCCACCGCTGTCTCAGGGCTGTCACAGCACGACGGCGCCCGAGTGCCGTCCCACCTGTTCGTCTCCGCGCGGCGAGTCCGGCGCCAGCGCTGATTGACTTCCGTCATCGCTCAGCGGCCAACGGCGACTGTCATCGCGTTTTCCCTTCCGTCACCCCCTCAACCCCCACCCCCTCACCACCTCCACCTCCCCCCCCCTCCCCCGCCCACCAACGCAGGTCATCCAGGAGCCGCTGCCCGGCGACGACTGGACCGTGTTCCAGTTCAACCACTCGACGTACCTTCCCGTGCTGCTGGCGCGCACCAAAGTCGTCAGGACCTGATCCCGCACCCGGGCGTCGCGCCCGTGTACCACCCCACGGTGGTGCAGGACCTGGGCCTGTACGACGGCGTGCAGCGAGTGCTCTTCGGCAACAACCTGGCGCTGTGGTTGCACAAGCTGGTGTTCGTGGACGCCGTGGCGTTCCTGACGGGGCGCCGCCTCGCGCTGCCCCTCGAGCGCTACGTGCTCGTCGACATCGACGACATCTTCGTCGGCAAGGAGGGCACGCGCATGAAGGTGCAGGACGTGGAGGTGAGGCCTAAGCTCGAATGGGGCGGAGGGGTGGTGGTGGTGCCGGGCGCATGCGGGGCCTTGGATTGGTATCGGGGTGGCCGGTTACCTGTGCTGGCGTTTTTTCGCCCAAGAATGACGGCATCCGCCATTCCGGTAATTAACGCCCTGCGCTGCAAGCCCGGTGACCCGAGTTCAATTCCCGCTCACGGCCAACATCGGTGATGAAAATCATAACCGTTTCTGGGACACCCATAGGTAGACTCGGCCTCAAATGAGTGTTGCAGTGTGTAAACATCATCACTGGGGAGACGATGGCAGCAGGGCACGGTGCTGGCCACCCACCCCCTCATCTACCGTGCCGCCCTTAAAATGTGCTCGCTAACAGCACTTGCCCCGATGGTCTGTTTTCACTATATGGAGGATAACTTTTCTTTGTGTTTATCGGCACAGTCAGGAGCATAAGTGGGGAAGCTGCCATTCATCTCAATCGGTTAAATCAGAACGCCTGTGTCTGTCCCGTCACTTCATGCGAGAGAGTTTCCGATACTTCGCGTGGCCTCAAAGGAGGGCACATATCCTGGCGCAGGCGAATGGAGGTCGTCGTCGTTGTGTCAGCGGCACTGCGTTACGAACCCGGTGACTTGCGTTTGATTCCCGCTCACGACTAAAATCAGTGGCGAGTGATACGTCAACCGATCCTGGGCATCCCCTGGGTCATTTCCGCCTTAAATGTGTATATTTTGCGGTGTGTAATCATCAACACTGGGGGGTAGGGGGGGCGGACAAAGGTGGCTGGGTGCGTTATTAACGAAATCACAGTCGGGCTTAGTGTTTTGCTATGCAATTGTGTTTGTGTAGGACCTCTGGTTAACCTGACAGTTGTCTGGGAGGCTGCTGCTACTGCTGGGAATCTGTACCGCCTCACACTTGGCCCAATTTAAATCTCAATTTCCCAGTTCATGACGATTCAAGTGCGCCCCTCGACCCTTGAGCAGAGAATCACTCGTGCCACGCGGCCCCCCTTAAGCGACGCACAGAGCACTCCAAGTTATTAACTGTGATCGCACACTCCCGGTTTGTATTACACGTCTTATCACTTCCCCACAATAGGCGAGCCGAAAAAAAAACATCGTTCACTTGAGAGCGTATAGTGTAGCGGCGCGGCGCGCTACGAACCCGGCGACCCGAGTTCGATTCCCGCTCTTGGCCAACACCAGTGACGATTATCTGAATCGCTCCTGGGTCTCCCCGAGGTTGACTCAGCCTTAAGAACGAGTGCCCGGTGCAGTGTGTAAACATCGGCAATGGGGATACAAAGGTCGCCGTGTGTGGTGCTGGTCACCCTACTTGTATTAGAGAATAAATGAGCATTTTCAATGTTTTGTATTTGCATTCCTAATTGTAGTTTTAATGTTTATATTTTTTGCCGTCCGTGTGGATATTGGGTTTTTGTGATGGCCGATTGTTTTCACCGTGTCTGTTCACAAGTGATCTCTGTTGTGATCTGGGACCCTTGTTTCCCCATGTAAAAGACTTTCGGTCTTGGTGGACTCTTGCCACGTATCTTTAACTGTGCAAAGCGTGCGTAGTAAATTATTAGCCTCGGTTATTACACACAAAACATAACATTGACGATAGAGCACCGGGTTCTTATTTGGCGAGCTGAGCAGACATACGGAAAGGTCATTGACATAGGATGGTTGCAATGGGCCCTGGTGTAAGGAATTGGTTGAGGGATGTACCCCCTGTGATAAAGAACTTTGTAGGTCATCAAATTCCTCCAGTAGAAATATTCTTATTCTGAATTTACCTCCTTATCTGTAGTTTGGCGGGTGCCTGAACTCCTCCTACCCATGGGCCCCGGGGCAGTTGCACTGTCTGCACACTCGATGGACAAATGTTGCTAGGGATCAAATATACAGGCACCGGTAGCCTGCAGTGAAGTTGGGTTTCTGGTACTGTGGTTCAGTGTGCTGATCGACAAGTCAAAGCCTCGCTTTCGCGGTGGCGAGATGTTAACTCGCTCGCCTGGTTAGACAGGAGGTCGTGGGTTTCAAAAGCGACCTGCGTCCAGGTCGCTTTTCAAAAGGAGCTGTATAGCTCAGTGGGCCTTACCTGGGGATAGAAAAAATAGCTTTAGTTTTATTAAAGACAAAGAACCCCTCCCCACCAACCCCACCTTTGAAGGGCCGACAAGGCGCACGAGGTGGTGTAGTCAACACCGTGCCCGACCGCCTTTATCACCGCAAGTGCGGATTTTAACGCACGAGGACACCAGGTTACTCATTTTGTAAGGCCGAGTCGAAATATGGAGAGGCCCAGGACTGATTTGGATCAACCACCACCGATGTTATCCGTGACGGGGGAAATGGAACTTGGGCCCTCCGGGTGTCGCCGTTGCTCCCCGCGCCTCTGTTGTGCGATACGCACGCGCGCCGATCCCCGTAAACTCGTCAAGGGAGGCACGTGCAAACAGTACGCGGAGCCCGCTCGCGCAATGATTGCAGCGTGCCCAGGCAAACTTTCTTTGGCAGAGTGTAAAGCACACAAGCCGGTGCACTCCCCCGCCTCTTCATTCCAAAGGTCACCATGTTCGAGCCCCCCCCCCCCCCCCCCTCTTCTGCTGTCTGATAATGTGGTCTGCAAACAGTTTTTCATTTTCTCTAGTGTGGGGGTGTTCTGTGCGTGCTCGGCTTTCATCTTGAACACATCCCATTTGTGTGTTGGCTTTCGGGGCAGGCATGGCCACGCACATGTAAGCAGTAGCCAAAACATCCCTCCACATCTTCTTGGTTCTTTCGGTAAAGTCACGTAGAAGGGAAGTAATAAAATAATAAAAATATAACATAATAAAACAATTCTCACGACGTTTCGGCCACAACGCAAGCAGCCGTCCTCAGGCGAAGAATGAAACACCACCAAGCTTGGAGCGTATATTTAAGCTGGGTTAGAGGGGGGAGGTGGGAAGAAGAGCGCCTAAACAAAATAATTTGCATATCCCTCCACAGTGCGGATTAATTGTCTCGGCCACTTGTTGTGCTTTCGATATTTCCGTGGCCATTGCTTTGTGATGGGATCCTCTACACAAGTTGTTCTTAACTTTGACTGCAGCCTTGCACCCCTTTGCTTCTCAATCGTAACATGTGTTTAAAATGTTAATGTCAATGCACAGGTTTGGTGAAACAAAGTAAGTTGTACTTACGTGCCCGTGCTGAATTTGTCTTTTGAGGATTTTACCTTCTAAAAGCTCTGGCCATGTCTCGCACCCCCAGAAATGGCATCTCACACACCCAGGGGGTTCGTGCACCCCAGGTAAAGAACCACTGCTCTAGACATTAGACAGATAGACCTGTCTTTCGTGGTGTCTTTAAACATCAATGTATTCGGACAGTAATCGGTCTCTGATGTGGTTGTTAGACACTAGGCCAACATATCTGTCACTGGTGGTGTCTCCAGACAGTAAAATGGACGAAACGATTTCTGATGGGTTCTCTAGGCGATGGACAAATATATCTGTCTCTGATGGGACTCTAATGGTCTCTGTTTATGGTCCAAAAGCGTTGTTATAAATTACACATTCGCATGGAAGGGAAGAGTCTCACCAAATGCATATCTCACCGATGAGCCTTCAGAAAGTTGTACCCACTTTAATCCACCCTGGGTGGGGATGGTTGGCCAAATTTGATTCCCGCCCGGGATTTAACTCGCGAACCTTCCAATTGCGAGTCGCCCGCTGCTTCCTCGGGGTTGTGCAGCGCCAATTCATTATCAGACGCTCTTGTAGATAAATAAAAGTATGACCAATGATCTTCAAATTTCAGGCCGTTGGACCCTTTCCCAAAAGCGTGGGGACCTTTCTCCGGAGAGGCTGACATTATATTTTTTTCGCGCAACGCCGCGCGTATGATAAGTTAAGCTTTGACGCAAAGTGCCCTCGTAACATTTACCGTTGCACCACGGTACGGAGTTATTAAGCCCGGACGGCTCGCTGTGTGAAAGTGTATTGTTTATTCAGTATGCGGTGAAAGCGCCCCCCTAATCCACGCGCATTCAAAGCAGATTTGCACTTAATCCATACTGTGTCTGGGAACGTTCATTTAATGAAACGTCTGTGGAGGAAGGAAGGGGGGAAGAAAGTAATTGCGTGGTGCGTGGATTAAATGTGCTCTAGATGCATTGTGCTTTGTATGAAATGGGATAAATTGAAATTAATTAGTCGAAACAATATTTATAAGTGCTTTATAATTGAACTACGTTATTTGCAATGCTGGTTATGTGCGCGCGTGTGTGTGTCACCTGTTTCATTTGCAAGTGAAAAGTTAACATAGCGTGCTGGTGTACAGCACGCCAAGCCCCAACCCATTAGGTGAAGCCTCTCATGTGTTCGGGGATTTGAAGTGAACACAGATTCAAACAGACACACACATTGGGCATTGTGTCCTTACATTATGAAGGTCGCACAATAATCTCCCTGAAACGCATCGTGCATGTTGTTATGATATAAATATATTTAGAAGTTTTTTTATTTTTGGAAAGGCATGTTGTTGTTTCAATCTTGTATAAAAACTTTACAGCCCTCGTCGGCATGAGAGATAGGAAGCTATGTTGGTAAATCTGGTGGTAATTGTTATATAATGTTTTTGTCGTTATACTTGGATTAATGCTTGTGTAGTGGTTGTATGGGTATGGTTCCCAGGCATGTTAATATAAAGTCCATTGGCAGTCTTTGTCGTCATCATTAGCCTTGGCCAATCCGCTGCTCGATGTTTGCCTCCCCAATTCATCATCATCATCTCCCATTATGCTGCTGTGTAATAATCCACCTCAAACCTGATTCCATTGCTCCATCTCCTCGGTAAATGTCCTCTTGGATGCATTTTCTTTTTTTAGCTGTGGCTCCAAAATATATAACAATAATAATCATCATAATACGTAACAATTCCCTCGTACTCACTGAATATCAAGATTCTTTTGAAAGTATAACTGCGCAAATGTGGTGTTGTCATCCTTAGGCCAGT